TAAAAAGTACATAAATTGAGAAAGCTTAACTGAGTGATCAAGAATTGTTCTCAGCCAATTAAATGGCAAAGGAATTCATCTCAGCATTCCTTCTAAATGGAGAATGTGGGGAATAGTTACCTGAGGAGGGCTTTCATTGAATTAAATGAAGCCAGTTATATTTGCCCCTAATGCATAGAAAGGTTCATTGTCAACTGTTAGAATTAAGAACAAGCATTACCATTGAGAAACTATACAATTGTGCATTTTCCATTCTTCTAAGTATTGATGTTGCTAGAAGCCACTTTTTTCTGTGCAAAGGAAGAATATCATCCCTGCATACTTGCTAAGAATCAGGAATGTATTTCTTTATTTCATTTGTACCCTGCCTAGTGAGCCACGTTATGTGTGTGTGTGTGTCTGTATAAAAAAGTGGGGAACTGGCAAGGACTTCAAGGGGGCATTTCATATCTCCTCCAACAACTATTTTCATTCCCTCCCTAAAAGCCCCAATAGCCATTTCCTCCTCTTCTTCCTACTCATCAGCCAACTTGTCTTTATCTACCTCCCCCCCCATTTCCCTGAATCCCTACCCCCTCTACTTGGGAAAACTATGGCCCAGTTGCATGGTGCTGGCCACTGGGCCAGGTCCAGTTGCATGGTGCCAGCCTCTAAGGCTAGGCCTGGTTGCACAGTGGGAAAACTTCAAGGACTTGTGGGGGGCACACCACTTTTCCCTGTATCCCCTTCCCCACACTAATCTTTCCCTCCTGCTGGCAACCCCCATATCTTCACCTTATTTGATCTCTCCCCCATCTTCACCTATATTTATTATTTACTTACTTTATTTATTCCATGGTTTTCTACACATTGGGGATCCAGAATGGCTCACATCATTCTCATCTCCTTCATTTTAATCATTGCAGTAATCCTGTGAAGTAGGTTAGGCTGAAGGTCACCAATGAGCACTATGACAGAACTGGGATTTGAACCTGGATCACCCAGATATTAATCTGAAACTTGAACCACTGCACCACACTGATTTTTGTGTAGTGGTTGCTGTTGAACAGCAGTAAGCAGCAGGGATGCGTGAGTCATTTTAGTTGCATGATATTAAGTCGCGTGGTGGTTGTTACCGGGCCTGGCCCCAATGAGTCTTCCCTCAGATGCCAAAATAGCCCTGGAAAGGCTAGATAAGATATCATTTTTCCTTTAATTGGGATTAAAAAAAACACCCCATTCTCATTTCCCCACATTTTCATGCAAACTTGTTTTGCTGAAAAATTCGCTCCTGTCTTCCCGTGGCCCCATTGTGTAGATCTGTTGAGCCACACTCTGGCCAATATTTATTTATTTATTATTTAAACATTGATATCCCACCTTTCCTCATTAAAGTGTTTTCTGTTAAAACCAACAATAAAATAGTATTTGACATAAAGTTTACTTCACTCTAAAATCTGTGTAGTGTTGTTTTAAAGCTAATGCTATTGAGACAGGAAAAAAACCCCAGAATTAAAATAGTGTAATGATGAGCTAAGGTTTGACCTATTTCAAATCTTGCCTCTGCTATTATTTCCTCTCAATCACAGTTGCTGTCCGTGGCCACAGCATGAGGTAATAATACTGACCTGACTTAGAGGCTTGTTATACAGATTACAGCAAGGTAATGTATGTGAACGGTTTCAGTACTCTAAAGGTCTATATTGATGCTAAGCATGTTATTATTCCCCCTAGTCCAAGTATATAACATTTTAATTACTGGTTTGTTATTCTTAGTAGTTCAACTCTTAGCTCATGCAGGATGACCTTGTTTTCTTTTCTATATGATTTTCCCACAGTTCATAACTGAATTAACAGTGCAATCCTAAACAGAGTTACAGCTTTCCAAGCCCACTGACTTCAGTGAACTTAGAAAGCTATAACTCTGTATATGAGTGCATTTTAATTGAGGCACAATGGACTTCTGAAACAGGAATCATCCATCTGAGTAACTGAAGGGTAAGCACTGTTGGATAACTGAACCTCATGCATCAGTCTGATCAATGTGTGCATTTTTACAGGGAAGTACAGGCCCCCCACAATGTTGTCCTGCTTTGTTCTTTCCTTTTAGTCTGATAGAACTGCCACAGAGAAGCCACACTATTCTGTCCACTATACTAGAACAAGCAGCATAGAAGGCAGTTTCATCTCCAGAAACATAGAACAGCCAACCTATAATGCTTAGTGGGGATTTGGGGAGGGGACACAGTTCAGTGGTACAGCATCTGCTTAGCATGCAGAAGGTCCCAGGTTCAATCCCTGGCATCTCCAGTAAAAAGGATCAGACAGGAGGTGATGTGAAAGTCCTTGACTTGAGATACTGGAGAGCTGCTGGCAGTCAGAGTAGACAACATTTGACCTAGATAGACCAATTGTCTGATTCAGTATAAGGCAGCCTCATGAATGTGTATCTGTAAGGCAAGTAAAGTCATTCTAACAGAGCATCATATTTTCTCCGCCTTCCTCCTCCCTGCCACTTTTCTGTGGAAAATTTTAAAGGGATAACAAATATTAAATAGCTGCCACCGTTTACCTCCAATGCTGGGTAATCACATACATATTACTTGTGAGCACAGGTGTTAGCTTGGTTAAGGAATAAGCACTGATAGACTCACAGTGCCATCATAAGCAGTTGAACACCTCTAAATCCCCTCAAGGAATGCAGTGTAACTCATCATTAATTTATTTGATCCTCTTTTATACATAAACGTATTACAGATTCAGCAATACAACATGCACACACACATATATACACACAATAAATAGAAATAATAAGATAAATTACAGTGCAATGAAAAATATATAAGGTCAAATCCTGTCATGTTTGCTACTGAAGTATATAATGAAAATTTATTTATTTATTTATAGTTCGATTTATATCCCGCCCTCCCCTAAGGCTCAGGGCGGCTAACAATTGGGGCAAAAGCCATAATTAAAACTATTAAAACAAGATAAAAACATAACAATAATGCAACAAAGTACTGGTGCTCTGATGTTCCCAGTTCCAAGGTGGGTGCCGGTAGGGTGGATCTGGACCAACGACGTAAGTTCCAAAGCGGCAGATAGCCAGTCTTCTTCCCAAGGCCCGCTTGCACCCTGATGGTGTCTTCGCCAATTTTCGGCGGCGGTGCATTGGTGGAACAGTGGCGGCGGCGGCTCCTACTCGAAAGCCTGGTCCACTTGTGACTGTAAGCAGTTCTATCTTGCTGACTTTTATAATATAATATATCCATTTAATCATATATCTGAATCCATAGACAATAGAAACAATCAGAGATTTCTGGAGAGTCCCAGTTTTCTCAAAAAGCCCA